ATATCTTCTCATTGACACAAACATTTTTTTTTTGTCGGTCATGGTTTTTATTGGTGGTTATTTTTGCCTTCTTATTTTATATACATAACCAATATAACCATAATCAATAACCACTTTTCTACCTGGATCAGATCTATTTTCAAAATTTTTATTATATAATAATAATGCTTTATTTTTTCTGGAATAAGTCCCTTTAGAATAATACAGATGGAAATGTGGGCTTTTGAGCCTCAGACAATAATCACAAAATAAGACAATTTCGTGAATAAAAAAACGTATTAGTTCTCTTCAAACTTCAACTAAGAACAAAATAAAAACGTCTGCCAAGTAAGGTCAGTATAGCTTCCTCACTGTTTGCATTGGCTAAAGAATATCTATATTACAAGGTCTAAAATTTAAAATATTTGTAAAAATCACACAGAAACTCGATATCACGATGGACTAGTTGAACTTCAATAGAAATAAACACAATCACTAATAAGATTATTCTTTTTTACAAACTCAGAGTAAAAATTAATTTAAATTTATTGAAAATTACACGAAATCTAAGTAACGGCAGTAAGTATCATGCCAGTAACGTTTGGAATCGACGAAACAATAAAGTATAAATTAACTCTTTGAATAAACCTAAATAAAATTTTATAATGCCATAAAAATATCGTCTTAACCTAACTTCCACTCCATATGATCAGTGCCTTTCACATTTCACTGCCATTACATTGTCAACAATTATTTATATTAATTTTAATTATTAAATAGAATTCAATGAAATTCATACTAGGTAATTTCCACACTATTCTCCAAAATTCCTTCAAGTTTGGGTCAAATTGAATACGCAGTTTTCAAACTATAGGCTTTTCAAATAATGCTTAGTGATCTGAAAGCAAAAGTCTTTTTTTTAGGAGTAGTGGATAGAATTTGATAAAATTTATACCTACTTGATTATCTGTTTACCAATTCCTAACTTCACTCCAAATTTGAGCCAAATCGAACATGCGGTTTTAGAGATATAGACGTATCAAGGAAAACACGTTTGCGCATATATAAGAGAAAGTAGTGGACAGAATTCAATAAAGTTGACATCACGTTATTTTTACACCATTACCTACCTTTTATCCAATTTTCAGCTATATCGAACGAGCCTTTTCTGAAATATTGGCATATTTAAAGAAGTACGTTTGCGTGTGCCTAAGTGGAAGTGCTGGATGGAATTTGATAAAATTGCACAATCCCTGAAAATCGGATGACAGGTACTAGGTGATATGTCTGTCACATCGATTTGACTACAGACAGACAGACACCGAACCTAATTTGATCCTTGATGTCTGAAACGTAAAACACGAGTGGAAATTTTCGATTCTGAGCACAAATTTTTTTTTAACCTCTCGCATGAACACAATGCTTCCCTCGGTAGTGAGGAAGCAATAAAAATTATTTAAAACAAACTAATAATTAATATACATATTTAAAACATCGATTTACAATTTTATCGGTACTGAACAAATAAGAGGTGATTGAACAGGCGGGATTTAAAGGTGGGGAGGGTATTAGAAAGACAGATGTAGGGAGAGATAAAATTTCATAGGGATGAGGATGGAATAATAAAAGATCTCTCGAAAGTCCTTATATGTAAATCTGAAGACCAGGAACGGGTTTTGCTGGAATGAACAGAGGATTTGAATTGAAGGAACTTGGAGATGTATATACGACAGCGGGATTGGTTGACTTGAAAGAAGAAGAATGCTATGAAATAGACGGTAGGAAGGATAAAACCACTCATCTCTTGATAAAAACGGGAAACAGAGAATATACCACATTTCTTATCCATATCTTATAACAAACTGTATTGAAAATGGGAAAAATTTTATTTGTGTAAATGAGAGAATATTGACAAAAATTTAGAATAATATTTATTAGAAAATGGCCAAGGAGCCAAAACCTTACAAATATATATATATAACATATATTTATTGATAATAAAATTTTTATTTGTTCATGTATTTTGGAAATTGTTGTTAATTAACTGTTCATAAATTAGCATTATTGAATCCCATCTTTATATAATATATGTTGATACAAAAAAATAGTAACCAATTTAAAGGTGAAAAAATAATTTTTATTTAATTTTGGGAAATGTCCCATATAAATTGAGTTAGCTACAACAAACATAATAAATTAATATCAAACATTTTATATCTATTGTAAAAAATAACAATACAATAGGTTACATGTGCGGGGTAAATATGTCAACATCCTTCACAACCAGTAACCAAAGACATGCAACGGTGAGTGTAAATAATATAATATAATAATAAAATATATATTATAACTCAATAAAATATGAATAAAATATTATATAAATTCAATGTAAATAATATACAACAAATCTTTATATATAATATAAGTAAAAAATGTAATAAGCAACATTATCAATATAACAATACAGAAGAGCCCAAGTTTTGGATATCTAATTTAATTTAATACAAAAAAATATCGGTGATATCATTTATTGACATTGAACGGCCTCAATCTACAACATTACAACATTGCCAGGAGAAAATCCTCCACTAGACTTTTAAATAGACTCAACATTTCATTCATCTCTATCTATCTGGAATTCACCAGTATCTTCTAATTCCAGAATAGACTGTTTATTCACCAAGCACGACAGAACAAAATTATATATCAGATATAAAAAGCATCATTTGATTCAGTGCCAAGTGAAGTATGGATTCTAGATATTCAATCAAACTATAAAGATTTTTAGGTGACAGTATGGATCGAGAGAAAAAATAATGAGCTTCAAATTAAGGACAAATGAGTCAAACAATACTGTCTTGCTGATACTGTCTACGCTTTAGTATATATCTTTAAACCTGTACCACTACAACCCATGAAGGGTCTTGGGTTCAGTACTATTTAGGGAAAGTACTGTTTGTTAGTCAACGGTTGTGGAAGGAGGTGATTTGACTGACATCACACTCAACCGCCATGTTTTTCCTCTTAATTAATAATTAAATTAACAGTATCCATTTTACACAGACTGGGTGTGAGAGATTCTCCTGATCCCACGGTTGCTCCATGTCTGATGAAACAGAATAAATAATTTTTCTGCCATGAGCAGGCATTCGAATCCAGGACCTCGAGGATTGGGAGATCAATGCCCTACCAATGAGCTACCCACCCCCTTAGTATATATTATATTGATATAATATACAGTAAATCTATAAGAATGATACTTGTATACGAGGACATAGAATGGCCAGTTTCTGGAAACAGTTGTTTATTACTCCTTCAGCACACGTAAATCCTCTGATTCCATATCATTTCGGTTATCATGTGGAGGAATTTTCTCTAAAATATGTCAGTTCTTTCATCAGTGCTGGTTAGTGTCCATGTCTCACAGCTGTATATCAGAACTGCCTTAATAATCACAAGATTATATGCTCTTAATTTAATTTGAGATTTTTTGTGATTTCAATGCTTTAGAAAGAGCAAAAAAAAAAGCTCTTTTTCGCTTTTTATAGGGCGATCACGTCTGATAGTTGGTCATTTCTTGAAGTCATTGAGGAGCCGAAATATTTAAATAACTCTACATTTTGAAAAAATTTTCCAACTGTGCAGATCCTGACATTGGAGTAGATTTTTCAACTTACTATTAAATATTTCGTTTTATCATCATTTGTTTTAAGGCTGATTCTCTTATCAGAGTCTCAATATCCCCTTGATTGTTTCCAAGGACAGCTACATCATCGGCATAACCAATGATTTTGTGATTCATTCTGAGGTATATACACCTCCCCTCCTTCTTCATATGATGTTATCACTTTTTCTTGTACTAAGTTGAATAAGATCGGTTAAAGTCCATCTTTCTGACTTAAACCTATTCGAACTTCAGATATTTTTCCTTGTACCAGGACTCCTTTCTTTAAGCACCATTTGTACACACCTTTATCAATCATGCCATTTTTCCAGAACTCTCAGCTCAATCATGATCTTCCAAACATAGTTTTTTCCTCGAGGTTATACGCTGTTTTGAAATCAACAAATTGGGTTTACATATCCTGAGCTATTTTTTAACACCTGTTTTAGGATGAAAATCTGTATGCTTCTTCCTCTTCTGAATACTAACTAATGGTTACCAATTATATTTTCATACAACGGATATATCCAATTTAGCAAGATATTGGTCATTGTCTTATAAGCAACCTGTGATATGCTCTTTTTGTCATTAAATCAATAAAACCAAATGATTGAAAAAAAAATAGTTATAATTAGAATATCATTTTTCAGAACGACTTTTCATTTGAATGAGTGGTGTTCATCCTTCTCGCCTGTATGACGTGCCTTTATATGTACCTTTAAATTACTTGTTTGCACTGTTTTATATTCACAATAAGGACATTGATGAGGCTTTTCATCTGTATGACGTGATTTCAGATGTACTTTTAAATTACTTGTATTTACTGTTTTAAAATCACAATGAGGACATTTATGAGGCTTCTCACCTGTATGACGGGCCATTATATGCTTTTTTAGATCACTTGGAATCACTGTTTTATACTCACAATACGGACACCTATGAGGCCTCTCATCTGAATGATGAAACATTATGTGAGTTTTTAAATGACTTGATTGTATCGTTTTGAAGTCACAATGGGGACATTTATGAGGCTTCTCACCTGTATGACAGGACATTATGTGTTGTTTTAAACGATTTGCTTGTGCAGCTTTAAACTCACAATGAGGGCACTTAAAAGGCTTCTCACCCGTATGCCGGGCTCTTATATGCTGTTTTAAATTATATACCTTTAATGTTCCATAGTCACAATGAGGGCACTGATGAGTAACCTCGCCTGTATGTCGAGCCATTATATGTTGTCTTAAATTATATGGCTTTATTGTTCTATAGTCACAAAGAACGCATTCAAGTGGCTCTTTACCTGTACGATGCTGTTTTGTATGATTTTGTACAATAGTTTTTTCTACTCTATACTCACAATGAGGATTCTCAGCCTTATTAGATGTTACACATTCTTTCAATTTGATGTTACTCATAGATTCCAAATCATATGGTTTGATTTCCTTTGTCTGATAAACAGGACCTCTAGTGTCTAAAAATAAAAAATAAAAATAAATATTTCTGTACATTTTAAAATTGCAACAAACAATATGCATAATTTTAGTATACAAATAACATTTTTTTCTCAACAAGAGAACTGACAGCTGCGGAAGCAGCTGCTGGTGCTCTGCACTCCCCCACCCCCAGGCTTCTGGTTAGAGTACACCAACCACATGTACTTAAAGAAGAACACACTAAATAATATACAAAATCTAGTGTGGTGTGAGCATCACACTACTTTCACTTATCGTCCTAACTTGAGTAGAAATATACAGGGAAATGCAAGAAAATTACAGAAGGTAAAATATATTCATGAAAGGATAACACATTTTTTTTTTTTTAATATTCGCAAACATTTTTTATTCCGATAAGTCTACAACTGAACACAAAGACGGGATCATTTTCATCTTTGTGATTATATATACCATAAAATGGGATGAGATTATGCCAAATGGGGTGAGAATCGGTCAATATGGAATTAAGCTAACCAGTGCTCTCTAATGGCTTATTATTAAAGTTATTACCTTTACTCTTTCATAATAGAGCATTGGTAAGTTGGTAGAAATCAACAAGTGTTATCGCACTCCTTTGAATTAATGTTTGTACCTCTCGCAATTGTTTTAAGAATTCACTGTGATGTCAGTTTGTTGTGGTGAAGAATTAATTTTTAACTGTGGGTAAATGGTTGACTGCCGTGAATAATGAAGAGAAGAATAGTTGGGGTGATCAGTCAAATAAGGAGGCAAAATAAATGATACTATTTATTTTAACATTAGCCAACGTTTCAACCTGAAGTTCAGGCCTTCATCAGGGCTAAGAAAAGAACCAGATAACAAGGTATGAGTAACATAAATAGTGTAGGTAAAAATTTACTTTAATTTCTTATACCTACACTACTCTTGTTTCTCATATCTTGTTATCCGGTTCTTTTCTTAGCCCTGATGAAGGCCTGAACTTCAGGTCGAAACGTCAGCAAATGTCAAAATAATTATCATTTATTTTTGCCTTCTTATTTGAAGAATTAATTTTATTTACTGGTAAGTAACAAATTTGTATTCACCTACTACCTCAAGTATTATTTGTCAAGTTTAATTACTGCACCTTTTTTGGTTGTCATATTATCACATTATCATTAAAAAAAGTTCATTTGGTGGGGTGAGATTGCGCCATCTTTTTTTTTTTTTTCTTTTTAGTTATGGGACAAGTCTATAAGAAAAAAGAAGAAAGAAAAAAGCCGCATCAGGCTGTATCCAGACTGATGGGGATAAAACCTACTTTAAATTAAAAAACATTTAATAAAACATAGATCTGATTAGTTTAATCAAAATCATTAGAGCTGTTTTCTGATGGCAAAATCAATGATATAAAGAGGCACTTCCAATTAGCCGATTTTTACAAAAAAATTGCTGTAACAGCCCAGGCTTATACAAACCTTCAGTATATAATTTCAGTTTCATACAACTTTTCTTTTTTCAGCTATATTGTTCACCCAGGACATTTTGTGAGACCTGTTATTTGGACTCAGGGTACTTCAAAAAATGTATTTTCATTGGAAACTCAGATTCGAAAATTTTCATAATAGCAATATTTTCCATTACTATATATATATTATATATAAGTAGGTAACTGAAAGTAAAAAAAAGTTTCATATTTAGATAAAAAGTTTAAATAACAGTGTGCCTAGGAGTTGTGGTCTGAGTCCACTGTAGCTATGACGTGTACGGCCTGTGAGCTAGGCACTGGCACCTCATGACGTGACGCAGCCTATTTGCGTGATGTAATTCCATCTCCACTACTTTTTTCTTAAATACTAATTGTCTTTGCAGATATCCATCAGAAGAATTTGGGATTTTTTTATTGTAATAACTTAATGTTCACCAATGAATGACAGTTGAAAATAACAGTTCATTTAGGTACCCAATTGTTTTTGTTTTTTTTCTGTTATTTCAGCACTAGAACTTTTCTTTCTTATGATTGGGACCATAACATTTTGTTTTCCAAAATGGCTCGGGTAGATAAAATTACACCAATCATTTTTCGAAACAAATTTTTTTTTCAACCAATTAATTTGGGAGAAAGCTTCCTATCACCTTCATTGAGGGCTCCTTATTTTGCAGGTCGTCTGTTTTTTAATTGTAGTGTGTGATAAAATAACTAACGTATTAAAGTAAACAACAAATACCTTCAACAGTTAATGAACTATTTTGTAATCTTTTAATAATCTACAGGGAATATAAGTTCATTAGGAACAATTAAAGGTTCAGAAAAACTCACCATGAAATTGTATTTTTACCTCGCTGGTGAAATTAATAAAACATGTACACAGTATAATGGTTAGAAATGGTATCAAGTACGCCTGATGGTTAAGGCATGAGCTCCGCAAAATCAAAGTTCCTAGGTCCCTTGATTTACAGCAAAACCTGATGTTTTTAAATATACTTTTTTGCATTTATATTTTCTATGTTGGGCCTACTGTCTACAAAATTACTTTTTTCCTTTAAAATTTCACATACCTATATTTTTCAAAAATTTGAATCAAACAGCAAATTTGCAGATATTTAGTTTTTCACATACTCTCATTTATAATGTGGATATAACTTGGATAAATGTTCATAGAATACAATTCCCACTGGTTTTCTGCTGTCGGTTGTAGAGAAACTTTTCAATCAAAACCCTAGCTTTAAACCTGTTGTCTGTTTTAGAGAACGTTCATTATGCTAAAGCCATTTGTAGTGTAAAATTATTTAAATCAGATGGAGATTATAAATTTATCCGTTATAGAGAAAAGTCTGCTATAGAGAAATGTCTACTATGGGAAGTTTCACTGTATAAGAAAATACAGATCCAAAGAACTAAGTATTTTTGGGAATGTGCCAGCTTACATGCTTGAACTAAAATAAATATTTCTTACCTTCGTCTGGTACAATGGACTCCCCTTCTTGTTTCATCTGAATGGGTCCGTCTAAAAGCATTTAAATGATATTTTCAACAAAATGATAGAAAAAAAAACATAAAAATTTTACAAAAAAAATAATATTAATATTAATATTATGAATAGAGTAGAAATATAGAACCCTCAACAGCAACTGAAACAATATCAGAACTGAAAAATTTAGGTTTCATATTGCGCCAGGTTCACAAAAAGGGTCCGAGGACGAATTGTAATAACTATCGAGGAATGTCACTCCTTCCGGTATGTTATAAAATATTCACTTTAATCTTAACCAGTCGAATAACAGAATACGCCGAGGAAATTATCGGAGACTACCAATGCGGATTTAGACGGAATTGTTCGACTATTGATCAATATATTAGAGAAAAAATTGGAGTACAATAGTATTGTTCACCAGCTGTATATAGATTTTAAAAAGGCTTACGATTCTATTGACCGCCAGAAACTGTATAATATTCTAATCCAGCAGGGGATTCCAAAAAAACTAGTAAATCTAGTCAGGATGTGCTTGACGGAGACACTCAATAAAGTTAGAATCGGTAATAATTTGTCCGAAAAATTTGAGGTTCGTTAGGGCTTAAAACAGGGGGATTCTCTTTCGCCTGTCCTGTTCAATTTGGCATTAGAACATGCCATTAGGGAGGTAATGCGAACCGAGAAAGGGTTGGATCTGGGCGGGACAACATCCGTGTTGGGCTATGCTGATGATCTGGTACTGTTAAGCGAAGACGTTGAAACCATAAAACTAAATACGACAACGTTAATGAAAGCCGGTAAAGAACTAGGACTCGAAATAAACGTGGATAAAACAAAATATATGGTTAGCTGCAAAAATGGCGATACTACTGGTGATATCGATATAGATGGTAATATGTTTGAACAGGTAGAGAAATTTAGGTATCTAGGTTCTACGATAACAAGAAAAAACGAAATTGAAGAAGAGATTAAGGTTAGACTGAAGGCGGGAAATGCTTGTTATTTTTCTGTATCAAAACTACTTAGTTAGCGCCTCTTGTCCTGGAACTTAAAAATTAGAATCTATAAAACAATTATCTTGCCTACAGTTCTTTATGGATGCGAAACTTGGCCGCTTACACTAAGGAATGAGCAGCGTCTTAAGGTTTTTGAAAATAAAATATTGCGTAGAATATTCGGACCGAAGAAGGATGAGTTAACCGGAGAGTTCAGACGGTTACACAACGCCGAATTGCGTGAGCTGTATCCGGGTAATATAATTGAGGTAATTTCATCGCGGCGAATCAAATGGGCTTGTAAAGTTGTTGGGCTTAGTAACGAGAGAATTCCTAAAAGGTTAATATTTGCTGTGCCGAATGGTAAGCGTCCGAGGGGTAGACCGAAGCGAAGGTGGGAAGATTGCATTAAAGCCGATCTGAAGGGACTGGATTTGGAGGGCGAACGGTGGAGGGAGGTGTGTAACAAGCGACTGGTGGTGTCGGCATCAAATCTTCGGGTTCGCTAAGCCTTTTATTATTATTATTATTGCACCAGGTTACAAATGTTCTGAAAGAGAGTAAAGAACAGCCAGGAGTATAAGTTCCTCTACCGTTATTTTTCGTAGACTTGGAGCCAACTCAAAGGATTGAAAAATATACAAAATAAGAAGGTATATGGCCACACCATGACTTACTGCCATCATTTGCCGACTTGTGTGCAATGTGAAGAGCAACACAAATCCGGTGAGTGCACAAAACTGAAACGAGATCCTGCAGTTTGTGCTTTACGCCTTGAAGGACATTCAGTGAACTATTAAGGCTGTCAGATATACAAGAATATCAGACATCCCGCAAACCAAGAAGAAGCAGAAAGATCATGAAGAGAAACTACCGGATCAAGAAGAGAACCTCCCAAATTAGTAGACCCAACTGTGTCTTTTGCACATTTATTAAGAGGTAAGAACAAAATCATTAATTGTGAGACATATACACCTCAAAAATCTCAAACCCACCCTCAACGTTCTAAAACTCAAAGTTCGCCTAATCATCAACAATTATATTAACACCTAATTCCTCACATTCATCCTCCATCAAATACCACAGATCTCAGCAGTTTACTTACATCTTTCCTGTCCAAATTCAGACCTCCTGTTACTCCTTTGATAGCCCTTCTCACCAACATTGTATCACATTTTATCCCTCTCTCACCAAAAATCCTTAAATGACTTCCAATAAACCTATATCCATTCTCCTTTGGAATGCAAATGGTGTTAGAAATCATACAAACAAACTATCTGCCTTATTATCTGAAAAGAACATTGACGTGGCACTAATTACTGAAACTCGACTAACCACTAAATAGCTCTTCAAAATACCAAAATACTTTACATATCATATTGACAATCCTGACAAATAATAATATTTATCATATTGTCAAATAATTCCCAACTCACAATGAAGAATATGATAAATATCACATCAAGCACCCTAAAAAGACGTACTTCAAAGATTTGAGAGGAAAATCCTCAGCACGATAACCGGAGCAATCTGTGGTAAGAATAACTACTGCATGGAGGGGAAGGACCAATAAAGAACTGCTTACAGAAACTGGCCGATCAATATATTATAAGATAAAGGCGAGGAGATTAAGATGAGCGGGACATGTAAAATGTAGCATTCTATCAGGAAGCCTCTACAAAACAATTAATGCCTCAATAGTAGGCAAGAGACCACATGAAAGTTCAAAAAATAGATGGATAGATCAAATTAAAAAAGACACAACAGAACTGCATGTAGATACCTGGAAAATCGTACTGAAGTATCTGTTATGATCGCCATTCCCAAAGTAACAGATGGGAATACTTCAACTTAAAATCTTATGGGTAGATTTTGGACTTAATATTTTGCATGATACTGGTTTAAGCTCAGCGGTAACCTAACATTGACCTTTCAACAACGATGAGTGGGAAAGGTGGAGCCCTCCAGGAGGACGGAATACTTTTCATCACATCTACTGAGCGCTTACACTTTTTTGTTTAAACGTATATTGTCCACCATCGCTAAAACGTTTTTTTTTTTTTTTTTAATGATAGTACGAATAATAGTTTATTTTTTGAGGATAAGTTGTTTTATTGAAAATTAGGACCTGGAAATTTACAATTGTTTGAAAGTCATCAATTTATCAAAATATGGATACAAGTAAATAAGGATTTTACATATTCTGCCGTCAATATTTTTTGGCTACCTTCCTATACCGAGCCATTACAACACGACGACCTGCCTATATTCTACAGATCCTACAATTCAAACGCTCCTTTCAATCCCGTCCCACCAGATCCCGTGCGTCCGACTTCTATTCTCCCCCTCACCGAACTACTGAATTTGATAAATCCTTTTTAATATAAGTTGTCTCCCTCTGGAACTCTATACCTTCAGATATTCGACACGCAAAATCTGTATCCTCATTCAAATCTCTCCTCTTCGAACACCTACTCCATTCCCAATCCGATCGATCACAAAATGCACTTAAAAACCTTAAAGTACACCCAGATAATCTGATTATTTTGTAATTCATAGATATTTCATTCACTTAATTAATTTCTTTGTATATTTTATATTTACACGTATTTATATCTTTTCATCATTTATAACTTTATTGTACTCCGAATCAACCATAAATATTAAATAGTATTTCATGGACACACCAAAATATTGATATATATTCTGTATTTGTGACTTGTTCTAAAGGGACACTAGTCCCAGAATAATAAAATTATTTTCATTTCATTTCATTCTCTATTTCAAATAAATGTTTCTTACCTTCATCCGGAACGATAAATTCTTCTTCTTGTTTCACCTGGATAGGTTCATCTAAAAGCAAGCAAATAATTTTTTGAACAAAATAATAAAAGGAATTACAATATAAAAAGAAATTAGATAAATAACTAATAAAGAAGAAAAATGATGTAGAGATGGTTGACCATAATATAATATGGGAAGGAATTGGTCAGGAGGGGGGGGGGAGAGGGGTGCGATCAAATAAATACTAAATTTAAAAAAATAGTATTTATTAAAAATACTATGTTTTAAAAATTTAGTATTTATTTGAGCTTTGGGGCTCTACTAAACCATCAAATTCCTCTCGTATCCAATCCCTACAATCCAAAATCCTTCGTAAAATCCTTAATGCTCCCTACTTTGTCACAAATAAAATCATCCATAATGACCTTAATGTACCATATGCTTCCGATTTATCTCAATCCAGATACCTGTCCTTTCATAATAAACTTCTGAACAATCCGAACCCTCTCGTTTCCAACCTTGCTTCCTCTTCTATTTCTGATAACCCTCCGAGGTGTCTAAAAAGAAGATGGCCTCGGGACCTTCTAATATAGAAATATAATTGGAGTGCTACCAATGGGTAGTTTCTCCTCATGTTGTACATGTCATATTACTTGTTCATATTTACTTGTTATATTTATTATTAATTACAGTCGTAAATTTCGTTAATAAAAAAAAAAAAAAAGTATTTATTCAACCGCATCCCCGACCAACTTCTTCTCAGAAGAAGAAAAATGTTTGATTAGTAGAAATATCAACAATTTTAATCTAAAACTGTTTATTTACATCCATCCCCACATATGTTATTATACTATGATCTAATATCAGATTTGTACCAAATATAAGCTTCTGTCCTGCTCAAATGCCATGAATGTAGTTAAACTAATGAATCCTGCTTTTTAACACCCAATAATGTACAATTTCAAGATAATGCAAGGCAAACGGTTTCACACAACCTTATGTTAATTGTAAAGTTGCCATGGGATACACGTCTTGTTACCGAGATCTTAATGATCAAGAGGGCAGATTATGTTATTTATCAAAGGTGTTTTTTTGTCGGTACTCTTACCTTCATTAATTCTTTATGAAATCCAAACCCATGAATTTGAAGATTTCCTTATCCTTCAAGTAGGCAAAATAGTCACATCACTCCGAAAATTCAAGCAAAAAAGTTAGCAAAGAAAAGAAATTTTATTTGCAAATAACTCAAAAATGGTTCATACTTTAAATTAACTTTGTATTATTCTGTAAGAATTATAAGTATTATTTTCACATATGAAGTACTGTTCCATTAAGTAAATTAATGCAAATCTATTATCATGAGTCAAGGAAAACCATAGAAACATTATTTATTCCATAAGAAAATATTTATTTCTCATTAAAATGCTTAGGTTGGTTCTGTTTTTTATTCATTGCACATATTTTTATAACAATGAATAAAACAAAGTCAGTCTGATCTTCTTGGTAACAGACATCAAGTAAGAAATGATCTAGATGTTCCCAGTCCAAACTTGTGGAGGACTAATATCGTAACTGCAAGATATCCCAACACCAATTAACAAAATTATGTCAACTAATGTTCGATGAGAGATCAAAATTTCACCATAATTATTACTGAAAATTTCAGGAAAACAATTATGAATTCGCATATTTATTTGCATTATAATCTGTAGGGAGACATGTTCTCCAGCTTCCATTTCAAAACGAAAAGGTGAATGATAATGAAATGTAAATAAAAACACTTCTGAATTTGCCACAATCGTTATATAAAAATTTCAAAACAATCGGTGGAGAAGGTTGAAAGATTAGTAATTAAAATAAATGAACATTTACATTTTTATTTATAAACACTGTTTCCAAAATGTTTTAAGTAATAGCACTATAGCTCATCAATAGCTAATAAACAAAATTTAAAAATGAGAAAAGAAAATCGTGTACTAGTTCACACGAGTTCCGCACGGAATACGTGTGGTTCACAATCACTTAGGTCACACTTGTTCATGGAATCCCTGCCGTGCCATTCGTTGGTCATTTGGCCATCCGACATCTTGCTGCCCAGTATAATTTCGATTTTCTGATATGTATATTTGAAAATTTTTTGTCGCTTATGTCCCTCAAGGCAGGACATGCGTCTAGATGGTCTGCATCCATTGTTCCTAGATGACACAATTTACAGCTAGGATCCTCAGCGACGCCTATCTTGTAGAGATGACTCTGCAGATAGTCGTGACCAGTGGCCAGGCGGAAGCAGGCAACTGCATCTCTTCTCGGCAGCTCAGCTGGGATCGGGTTATCCTTCAACCACTCGTAACGCTTCCCTTCCACTTTGCCGAAATGTACTTTTCTTATTTCCTCCTTCACTACCAATTTCACCATTCGCCGTATAGAGTCGTAAGGTTTTGGATGTATCGGCTGAGGCAAATCTGTTCCTCGCTTGGCAAGAATATCAGCCTCAACGTTACCCGGAATCCCACAATGGCTGGGGATCCACTGTAGGACCACATTGGTGCCTCGGTGTGTCAGGTTAGAGAGGAGGGATTTACATTCCAATATAGCACTCGATAAACATTCATTCGTGCTTGTGACAGCAAGGATGGCTGCTTGGGAGTCGATGAAGAGAACAGCGCTCTGATCCCGTCTTCTAGACAATGTTCTTAAGGCTATGAGGATCGCCGCTATCTCACCGTCGAAATTTGTTCCATCTTTTCCCACCGCAGCGCTGATTTGGAATTCTCTTGAGTAAACCCCTGCTCCAGCATTTTTAACGGCTGATTCAGCTGATCCGTCGGTATAGATATGGAACCAATCTTGAGGAGGGTACTTTTGAGCTATGGTTTCTAATGCTAATGCTTTTAGCTCGTATTCAGGTGTTTTTTTCTTATCCACCTTATGAAGGAGTTGCAGTTCTGCATTGCATGCGTGATTGTGAATTGGTAACTGTGGATGTATAAATGGTTCCCTTTCTTCGCAGTCAAGCCCTCTTTCTTCAAGTAGTGCCATCGCCTTCAGCATGAAGGATTTTTGTGTCTTGAGCCGTTGAGAGGGGAATTTGTATTTTTCCCAAAACTCTTGGTCTATTCTTTTCATTCGCTCGTGAAGGCACATTGCAGCTCGCTCACGCCGTTTCGATAGAGGTTCTACTGTGGTCTGCAGTTCCATAGCCACAACAGGGGTTGAGCGCGGTGCACCCAAAATCAAACGCAGAGCTTTGTTCTGCTGGTCGTCTAATCTTTTCAGGGATGCATCAGCCGCAGTACAGATGACTTCAGAACCGTATTCCAATACTGGGCGTACATAGGTTTTATATGCAAGACCCATCACATCCTGGGTGGCCCCCCATGTTTTTCCTCCAAGGCGTTTCAGAAGTTTTAGCCTGTTTTCCCCCTTTTCCACCATCTCTTCAATTTGTCTGTTCCAGATCATTTTTGTATCTAACCTAACTCCAAGATATTTACCTGCATAAGTTCTTGGTAAAGGAACATTATTGTAGATTATTTCCAGCTCGCACCCTTTTGTTGATAAGGTGAACAGTTGGAATTCAGTTTTCTGCGTATTTACTTCCATTTCATTACACTTGGCCCAGGTAAAAAGTCTTGCCATTGCCTCATTAATTGCTGCTTCGAGTGCTGTTATGTTGCTACTAGTCGCATATACTAGTAGATCATCAGCGAACAGTAGAGCAGATATTCCGGGTATTCCCTCGAGTACAGCCATTAAGTCATCAATCATTATATTAAAGAGTGTGGGGCTTAAAACAGATCCTTGTGGAACTCCTTGACTAAAAGTTCTGAAGCCTGAGCACCAGCCATTGTATCTTACTCTGAGAAACCTCTGGGCCAAGAAGGAACGTATGGCTCGGTACATTTTTCCACTGATGTTCATTTTGAGGAGTTTATTCAGAAGTACTTTCCGGCAGACTCTGTCAAAAGCAGCTTTAAAATCAACATATACTGCAAGAGTATGTTGTTTGCGTTGGAATCCGTCTTTTACATCCTCACTAAAACGAGCCACCTGCTCAGTTGTACATCGGTGCTTCCGGAAACCTGCTTGCTTTGATGACATTTTGTTTTCTCTATCAAGGTATATCTGCAACCGGGCTAGGACCATTCTCTCGTAGAGCTTAGAAAAAACACTTGTGAGCGATATAGGTCGGTAGTTAGATGGGCAAGAAGAACATTTACCTTTCTTGAGAATTGGGACAACCTCAGCCTTCCTCCAAGCACTAGGATATTTCGACCTCCACACAGCATTGAGAAAATCTAGCACAATGAGCTTGGCTTTTGCATCCAGGTGAATAAGAAACTCTGGTAATATGTCATCAGGGCCACCGCTTTTTCCCTTCTTTGTTTGTGCCAGTGCAAGTTCAAGCTCTTCCTTACTAAAGTCGTCTTCAAAGAGTTGGGCTTCAGAGGAATTCAGACATAGGATTTGTGGTTTGGTATTAATTTTCTTATCTCCTACTGCTGGCTTATAATTAGAAGCCTTTGCAAAGAATTTACAAAAGTTTCTTGCTATGGCAAGTCCGGTATATATCTCTTTGTTATTGAACTTCAGAGGGTTGTTCCTTGGGTCTTTGCCGCCATTTAGTTTTGAGATGAATCTATGTGCTTTTACTCCATCTCTTCGGAAATCCAGGTTGGCCAAATATTCTTTGAAAGCTTTTCTTTTGGCTTGAATTATATTGTACTTAAGGGTTGCTGTAAGTTGTTTTAGCCTTACTATATCTTCCGGTTTCTTTGACATTTCTACATCTTTTCTTGCTGCATCTCTACTATCTTTTAGTTTCTGTAGCTTGTCACTCCAGAATGGGGAGTATCTTTTCATAAATCCCCGAGGAATGGACTGCTTTGCACACTCGAGAATTGCCGCTTGAAGTCGGGTGCAGCTTATATCTACATTTTCCGTAATGGTTTTATCCGTAATGGCTGTGCGAGTGAGCTGAGAGAATTTATTCCAATTGGCTTTTTTCAAATTCCATCGGAGCATTCGAGGCACTGAATCATTATAAGACTTTAAATTGCCATTAAGATAGGCAAGCATTATCCTGTGGCCAAATGCTCCAGGTGGAGAGGCAACTGTGTGGGAGATCAGCGGAGCTATTCGTGGGTGCACCAATAATAGGTCAGGGTGGGAACTATTACCTTTGTAGTCCATAAAAGTGGACTTTGAATTTTCGTTTTCCACAAATTCAATCATATTTGTATCGATAAACTCTTCCAGAGTTTTCCCCGCTGAATTTGAGTTTGTGTAACCCCAGCGCCTGGAGTGCGCGTTGAAGTCTCCATACACAAGGGATTTGTCTGTCAAAGAATCCTCCAGCCAACCCAAATTCGGTTTATTATTAGGGGGGTTATAGATGACAAATATTTGGTGGTGGAAATTGTTTGACCACAGATTGATTTCCACTCCTTCCAATCTATCATTTGCATCCATTTCCTTTTTAACTTGAAACTTGACCGTGAAGGAAGATCTTACACCAACAAGTATTCCTGATGCTATCTGCCTAGCCCTTGGCAGTGAGTAAATTTGGAAATCTGGATACCTGAAGTATTCAAGACAATCAGTAGCAGCGCCTGCCTCAACAATGCAAAATAGATCAATTTTATTTGAGGATATAAAATGCTTCAATTCTGTGTACTTTTCGCTGGTGAGACCACCCGCATTCCAAAAAAGAGTCTTTAAGATAAAGTTGTTATGGCCTTGAGAAAGGCCGTTTGCGTTGGCCAGGCTTTGTGCTGGCCGCGCCATAAGTCGCTATTGGTGACACTGGGAGTCTGGCGACTATGTGATCGTTTGGTTGGTTATCCAGGGGCACGACGAGGATGCCGTCTTTTATGACGTCAACTATTGCCCCAACAAACAATCTCTTTTATACATTTTTAAAAAACCTGCATATTAACATCATAGAACTTCCCTTATTAACAATTATTTAATAATTAGAAATAACTATTTAATAATTTGTTAATTATTATAGCGGTAATTATTCTGGAAGAAAAATATAGAAAATTATGTTTGAGTCAACCTTTAATGTCTGTTGGAAAAATGCTTTTGGGAATAAAATTTTTATTGGCAAGTGCTGACATGTAGTTGTCGTAAATACACATATACTTTTGTATATTATCTTTTATAACTGTGCATAAAAGATTTTTTTTATAATTTGGATATTAAATAATCTGAAGTTATCTATTATCTTTTTATAAAGTATTTGAGTTTAGTTCTATAAAAGTTGGAATAATTGAATTTATAAATTATTTTAGTAAGCCTTAATCACTTATCTAGTGCATGTAACTTTTTTGAATTCTTAGATATAAGGATGCACTATTTTCTAGTCGCCAGAGCTTTTCAAATGAAATTTTGTTGGTAATTAACGAGTAATAGATGATTCAGAAGAATATGTGTAACTAATGAATAACCAAAAATCATCTGTAAAAATCTATTGAATAACAAATAAAACGTATCTATTAATTGTTATCTTGATAAATATTTATTCAAGTAATGTTCAACCACAATGGAACCCTATTGATCTACTAGTTAGTTGGACTACACTGTTAATTTATAATTTATTTCCTCATTTTAATTGCTATTATTTTCATTGAATGAATTATTTAATTATGTAATTATAAATGAAAATTGTACTTTTTGACTAGCAGGTCGGCACTGACTGCTATCTGCCAATGTTTATAACCTGAACACTGATAATTCCGATAACGCAGTGATAAGCCTTCTCCTACTTCCTATCTTTGTATTATTGAAAGTGTAAACAGATACAAAAAAAGTTTAATAACAAAAAAAATACTTTTACTTTACAACACATATATTAATGAAATAATAAAAAACACTTGAAGAACATATGTAGATATAAAAGATGAAAATGAAATAATAAAAAAACATTTAAGGAACATATTTACATAGAAAAGAAAAAATATCAACACTATAAACAACATATGTACAATTTATTTTCACTTTGTCTTCTTTATTTTGGAAGGGAAAATTGTTTTAAGCTATTTAAAATAGCGAGGAATGGGTCCTCTTCTCTGTGAACCCGCCGCCACAAAAATTCGCACAAATATGAATCGAGGTGTTGCCTGACAGTTCCTCTATGTACTTTATTTCTCCACTTCGCTGAGCCCCATAATCGTTCTATGTGTTGAATATGAACCCCAGTTGATGGATCGACAAAATTATATCGGTGATTCACTTGGAAATGGTCATAGTTTGCTTCGTTCAGTTGTCAGGTGTGGTATCCTTTCCAACAGTCCGAATAAATGGTCGTTCCCTCTTCTATATTGTCTTTAATTGCTTGTAATAAGGTTGTTGCTTTTTTGTCATTAATTTTGACAATAAAACATTCATTTGTTTCTCGGCTAACTCCACCAAACATCCATTGCTGAGGTAAAACTTTCCCCACATTTTTTCGTCTAAAAATAATGAAAAATAAACACAAACGAGCCAAAATTAAAGAATTTAATAAGTGAACGTAATAAGGGAATAACTGAAAACTAAACAATGCAACAACTCAAAGGTTTGGTGGGATAAGAAGAGGGAGGTTATGTCATGTGACATTAGATAAGATAGATAAGTGATGTTTCATGCCGGCCTGATAGTCAAAAAGTACCGAAAATTTAAGTAATTTTAGAATTAGGTGCATTTATGTATATATATTATTCAACATTTAAATGATAATATATTCAAATATTACTCAGGTAGTTTGTATTGTCAGGTTCTGCTTTTTCTTTTCTCAACAAAAACACTGAGCTTATTTTAAGGAGGAATTTTTTTTTTCTTTATTGTTTTCTTAAAAGTGTACATTCATGCTGGTTTATCACTGCAAATAGTTTAAATGTCTTGTCATAGTTTTAAGTGTTTATATGTAATTTTATTTGTTTTGCATATAGCAAGTTTACCTTATATTTTCTTTCCATTTTCCTTTTTTTTCTATTGTTTTTATTTAGGCCAGATGTAATCTTTTAATTTTGTTCTATTTTGTTATTCTCAAGGGACTTTGTCCTAGAATAGTTATTTTCTATTTCAAATTATTGTTATTCGTAGTTATTTTGCTTAGTAATCAGAAGATGGGGACTTATTTTAATCATTCATAAAAAATAAAAATAAAATATATCGTGTTTATTTTCTAGGAAGGAATTAACATGTTGAGAAAACAACTGACAAAGAATATCTGATAATTCCGAATTAATGAATAATGAAAATCATCAATAAGGAAAATAAATAACGTGAAACAGCATCCAGGGATATAATTAAAGAGTTTTACTATTTCTATTTCTTTTCCACCGCTGTATAATACGTGTACAAGTTCAATTAAGGTTACACGATGTAGACTAAATTTATAATATAAGACGGCTCCTGCTGAATAACTGAACATGGTTATGGATATAAAAGTACTTAAATGGCATTAATATTCATATAGTTAATAATAACTGACTCAATAGATTGGCCAACTTCTTTCTCTTTCGGATAAAACCTGCACGCATTCAATACTCCATGAACAAGTGTGACCGAACTGATTGTGAACCACGCGTAATCCGTGCAGAACTCATGTGAACTAATACCAAAAATCAGTTGAGAAACAGGAGAACATTGCACTCAACTGTTTTGCCTTTGCTTATTTCTATAATGATTAAAAATTCAACTCACTGTAATACATGTCTGATATTTCTTCTTCTTTGATATCAATGATAGGAACTGAAAACAAATCCAATAGACATTTCATTGCAATAGTCACAAAACAAGATAATAACATCCTATACATTCGTAATTTAAAACAGATAACTCACTGGTGGGATCGGTTTCATCAGTTATTTCTTCTTGAATTGAAGCATTAGAGTTAATAATATCTGAAACAGCAACTACATTGTCATATCCATAACGTAATTAAATGAGTGAAAGGTTCACAAAAAAATTATCAAATTCAAATCAAATAATTAATAAATATGATATTGTACAAAAATACAGTATTTCTCACAACATTAAAGTGAAATTCATAAATTATTAACATTTATTTGAATAGACCTTTAACAATATTTGTTCACAGCTAAATAAAACATTTACAAAAAATGATTCCATTCAAAACAAAGCGTAAGTGTCAAGATTAATAGGTTAAATTATAACTAAATAGATTAAAAAATATATTTAACTAACCAGTCTGAGCCATTAGTTTCAAAAAAATAACTTTGAAAACAAATTAATACCAGAAACAAGATTTGTATTATTGGTCCTGTGTAGCGATATCATCGATGTTTTTTGTCGATAATTAATATATCTTATCGATATACGAGATATGACATATATTATGGAAGAGAAGAAAGATTGCGGTGATCGGTCAAAAAAGAAAAGTACAAATGAATAATTATATTTATTTTTAATCTATTAATAAATATATTTATTTATTTTTAATTTTCTTTTTTGACTAATCACCCCAACCATTCTTCTCTTCAGTTATTCGCTACAGTCCATGGTCAAGGTCAATAAAACTACCAGGTTCGCTCACTCAGAAATGCTTGGGGAGGGAGAACTTGAAACGTGACGTAAGGACTAGACCGCCAGACCTACTTATTACTCTTTTAAGCCTATCAATGAAGGTTTATTTCAACATTATTGTGCATTTTATTTTGTTTTCTTGTTTAATTTATTGAAAAGAATACTTTTCTGTGTTTTAGACGTTTGATTGAAGATAATTTCAAGTATATAAATAAATACGACTAACATTCTAGAATAAAATGCTATGAAAACTACAGGCTAGATCATAAACAAAAAAAAAAAACGAAATTGATATTAAGATTATTTTTAAATTATTTATTTCAACGTCATATACTGTAAAAAAAAACTTCAAATATATTACCATGGGTGATAAATATTCAAGACGCAATCATTATAAAAATTTTTTATTTGTGCCAACTTTTTAACCCAAACACGTGGGTCATCTTCAGGGCTGAGAATTTTAAAATACAATCAGAGACAAAATATTAAACGACCGATAATGATAAATAATGAAATATAGTGATTGATGGTACGTGAATCTTAACTATTATTACAATGCGCAATATTAAAAATGAAATATGTAAAAAGTTATACAAATAAAAAATAATGTATATAATTCATTTATAAAAAATTGTAATATTTTCTATCGCTAACCGTGGTTCGAGCACTAAAGGCTTACATGAACTGACACAATTGGTAGGTAAGTGAAAAGGTCGGGGGAGGATTTCCCAGTTGTTCTTTTTCAGATAGCAAAAGGTAGGTAAACATATACAGAGAAAGGAGGGGGAAAGGACGTAACATTTCTGTTTGTAAAATGTAAATAATATTTGCCTTTAAATTATCGGTCGTATAATATTATATCTCTGATTGTATTTTAAAATTTTCAGACCTGGGAATGACCCATATGATTGGGTTGAAACGATGGCACAAATAAAAAATGTTTATAATGACTGCTTCCTGAATATTTATCACCCATGATATGCAGAAAAGTCGAAGTGGGCGGGGTGGCCGAACGGGCTATCCCCGCCCACACTCTCTGGCCCGAGAAAACCCCATATATCCATAAAGGCATGTAAGGGGAGGACCGAAAAAAAACAATGTAGAACAGTCGATTAGCTTCCTTCAATAATTCAAATATATTACATAAACAGAAAGGTACTAGTTCACAAGAGTTCCGCACGGATTATGCATGGTTCACAATCACTTCGATCACACTTGTTCATGGAATCCCGAAAACAGCCGAATGTTGTCGTCCTTTATGACGTCAGCTATTGTACCTTTTCATCCTTTTTCATGCATTTTTGAAGAAAAAAAAAACGTTTTCCTTCGTGGAACTTCCTTATTAAAAATGTATTTACTAATTAGTTAATTATTAATTTGCATTATAACGGTCATTACTGTGAAAGAAAAAGAATACATATATAAAATAATGTTTGAGTCCTTCCTTCAAGGCCTGTAAAAAAAAATATGCTTTTAGAAATAAAATTTTTATTGACACGTGCTTACAAGGCCTGTATCATTTTATTTTAGATTGTTAGTCGTATTTATTTCTATACTTGAAATTATCTTTAATCAAACGTCAAAACACAGAAAAGTATTCTTTTCATTAAATTAAACAAGAAAACAAAATAAAATGCACAATAATGTGAGCCAACCTGATAGTTTTATTGACCTTGCGAACAGGCTAGTACATTTATATCTCTTTGTATGTAAGTTGTGGTTGAAGAGGTTAACAGCGCATGACTGTTCAGCTAGTCAGACCCTTGTATAATAAGAAGGTGGTTGATAATTGTGTTTCAAAATGGTTGGAGTGCGTGGTTCAAGAAAACCGAGTGAAGCGGAAAATTTCTTCTAAAAGACAGTCGAATGAAAAATGTAGCGATTTTTTTTATCATATGTTTGATGGAAAAACTTCATAGTGTGGAAGAAAAGAACTTTTATAAGTTCTGTGAGTACCAATGTTTTTTAAAACCTAAAGGTGGAAAAAGGGGTATTGTCGAAGATGTAATTAATTGCATTTTTGATACATTATATATAAACATTTTAAATATATATATAACTCGATTCTGCACATTCTTCAAGGAAACAAAATTAACATTATGCAGTTGAAAAAATCAAAAGCAGTACAGTTTAAATGTGTTAATAATTCAGAGAGGCCAAAGTTAACAGGATTGGCTATTGTGGACTCATATTTTAAGGATTTTGAGAAGGCATCTATTAAATTGAAAGCACCATGCTGCACAATAACCAATCAAGAGATATTGAAATACATTTTTAAAATAGGGATTACTTAAGTTCAATTTTAATTATTTCGGAGGAAATTATTTATATTTAACATTACAACTTTTAATTATTAGTTCTTTGTGAAAGTTGTATAAGATTACAGATTTATCTCTAAAATGAATTCCAGATTCTTTTTATATATATATTTGGGTAATTAAATTCAACTACCTCCTTCAAATATTTGTATATAAAAGTTCCAATTCTAAAAGAAAAGAAAAACAAACAAAAATCTTCCAGATACATCAGAACTGCTCTAAAGAAGAAGGTTGACTTGCCATGATAAAAACTCTGGCATTATCATCATACAAGCTACTCGGAAAGTTTAATTGCTCTGAAGGAAGAAGATATGAGTTGAAAAAATCTATCAAAGTCCAATTATTTTTTTTTTTCATTAGTGAAAGTACAATGTTTTTCATTCAGTAAACCAAGCCACGTACAAAGAAACAGTGGAGAAGGAAAGTGTACTTTATCAAACAAGGAAACAATAGAGGCCTTAGTCAAGTTTGGAATTCAAGCAGAGGTTACTAGTGAAGAAGAGGACTTGGTTTAGGGAGAAACTACTATTGCATAAGAGAGAGGTTCGTGGATTTAAAATCAACAGCATAATGATTAGAGTTCCAGTTTATTTTATACACATGTAATAAGTATCAGGTTATATAAATTAATTAGATTTGATTCTTGGTAATGGTTGTTCTGAACATTAAGGAAATGAATCTGTTTTTTATCAATATAATGTTCTAAAATTTCTTATTAATGTAAAATTAGCTGCTGGTAACACATTAGGAATGAAAATAAAAGCTTTGTTTGGTACTTACAATAGGAGCATTAAAGTAACTAAGTAATTTATTTTTTGCGCAAAATTTATAACAATGTATTATAAGTTATACTTGAGTGACTGAATATGTCAAAATAATATCTCAAGGTAAATTTATAATTCAGATCGAGAGATGGTTCAAATTTCTGAAAATTAAAGAATTTATATCACAAGAAAAGTAAAATGACACCATTAAAATAGATAAATTCACACTGATATGGTTAGGAAATAGTAATATGAGCTTGAAAAAAAAAATGGCATCAAATAATAGGTCAAATTACTTTTAATTATCTAGATAAAGTGTGTAAAGAAGTGTTGTTTTAGCATTTGGTCCCCCTAATGTTGGAGATCTAGATTTTTATTTTTTATGTAAGGGTGTTTTACTCATAAATTGAAGTTTCTCTCATATATATTTATATATATATCCAATTTCTCAAGCTATTATCGATATGTATTTTAAATAATGTAGGGGACGGACATGCAGCATCCCTGAAGGTTTTTACAGTTTCTAAACTCTTCTGATACGAGAGAGCCAATTTTTACTTTGCATTTATTCTATCTATATGTTTCCTTTACCACTCCCTCTAAATCAGTGCCAATACCACCTGTTTCAAGAGGTATGCTTTTTCGAGATATATAAAGATCATATCTAGTATCTTTGATTTTTCAGCCTTCCTTTCTAAAATTTTTTTGAAAGTAAATATATGATCAATATATAAATTAAATTGTTTTCTAAATTTATAAATGATTACAGAAAACTGGACTAAGTTTATTCTATAAAATCCAAATCTGAAATGTTTTACTGTTTGGCTGAGTATGTTAATCATGTAGAAAATTAGACTGGAAAGAAAATTAGTTTAGTGTGATAATGGTAAAGAGTTACAGATGACCAAATTTTCAATTTTTTTTTTTTTTTAGAAAGAATGGCGTCTCCGTGAATCCTTACCATCGGTATGTGCGAGAATTAAATAGTGTAGCAAAAAGATACAACAGATCAATAATGACATGGGTAGATGCTTATTAAAAAAGAAGCAAAAGTAAGTAAAATGTTTTGGCCAGAGGTAATAAAGTTTAGAATGCATTTAATGAATAGAACTTAAAAGAAAATATTAAATGAAAAATCATGTGTAAAATACTTGAAAGTAATTTTTAATACATTTTTTATGAGAATACAAGTCCAGTTAATAAACAACACAAACTCAAGAACATTTCTTATAGCCTGAGAACGGGTATAAATCTTTAATTAATTATAAAATTTGT